GCTCTGGCCAACATGCCGGGTCTGTCTCTGTGAATGGCAGTGGGACTTTCTCCCTGGCTGCAGTGCTGGTGGTGGCATCTCCCTCACCTGTCTCAGTTGTGGGACTATCATCATGTGGTGCTTCAAACGATAATGTTTGGTCATCATTATCACCAGCTGTTTCAGTAGAAAGGTCTTTATTTTCACCTTCTCCCGTATTTGTTGTTTGGCGTTATGTGACTGCCGGCAGTCGCTGCTGTACTCGGTGCAGCTGTTATAGATGCAGGACCAAAGAAAGAGGTCACTTTTGGAAGACTACTCACAGCTTTCCTTTTGATGTCTGCTAGTTTTCGCTTTTCAACACCACTCTGGTATGTGCGTTTCATTTTGTAACGTTAGGGATGTTAGCTAGCTAGTTAGGTGATGGCAGGCAGTGATTTATTATTGTGTCTTCCTTGTGGCATTTATTTTTTTGTCAGTCAGTTGGGGGCCCCCTGGTGGCCGGGGCCCGTTTCAACTGAAACGGTTGAAACATAGGTAAGGCCGCCTATGGCCATCGTGCTGTAAAGTGTTCCACTCTTCTTTGGGAGATCCTATCCGCTCATTAAAGTTACAAAGTACAAGAACAGCCAACGTCGAAGCTGTTATTTAAGTGAAAAGGTTGCATAATGTTTCTTTAACATCCACAAGCATTTTAGCAAACAAAGGAATCCGGTCAAAAACCAAAAATGAAATAAAACTAAACGAATTAACCCTGGATCATGTGTGTGTGAATGTGTGTTACCTTCTATAGGTTTAGGCAGGAAGTGTGCAGCTGGTTTGGTCTTTTTGACCCTGTTGCCCTTCATGGCCTGTCCCTCTTTATTGAGGCCCAGAAACCAGGCCCGGCCCGACTCCTTCTGTCTGTAGAGCATAGAGCTGTAGATCACATAGTAGTTCTCGAACACCGACTCCTTAAACTTACACTCGGCTGTAAACAGTTCCTGAGGAGACAGACAGACAGACAGACAGGAAGCGATATGGGTCATATTATGTTGGGAAAAGGAGTATTTTAACAATTATTGTATGTGGGAAAAATGAATAACACAAACAAGGATTTAAAAAATATATATATATGTCAGTGTGCCAATAAATCTGACATAAGAAAACAATGAAACCACACTGCCCAGCCACAGACAGGGAGGAGCAGCACAGCACTGACTGAATGATGTGCTGCTTTAACCCATGTTACTCTCCCCAGACACTCTCTCTCTGTACACACATGAACAACAAACTAAACAGATAAAAAAGCTGACTGATTCTGGTGACACAAAGCCCAAAAGATCTCACCCTCCCGCCCACATCAGCTCTGCTGTTATGTGTCAGAACTCTTTTCCATGGTCGCAAGCGCCTCCAGCGGAGCATATTTCAGCTCTGAATCAAGGTGTTATTCTTACTGGGAGAAAAAATCCTGTCTCCCTAGTGTCCTCTTGCACTACTGAGTCACAGCAAGTACAAAAGGCAGCCTGAGATGAAACATTCTCCTTTTGCGGAGGTCAGAATCGAGGCAATCGGAGAAGTCAGGCTCCAGAAATCAAAAGAATTGCAAATACTCGAGCAGTATTTACAACTAAAAGATGGAGCTTTGTCAATGAAATGTCATTTTTAGTAGGGATTTTCTACTGTTTTCTTATATGACATCAACACAGCATGACATCAGGCTGGGTTAGCAAACTTCCATATTAGGGCTGCAGCTAATGATTATCAACTGATCTAACTGTCTTTGAGCAGGGTTTAAGAGCTTCTCAACAACACCAGATATTATTACCTACACAATCATTTAAAGCTGCATCTTCTGGTTCTTAGAGGACTTGGGAGGCGTGTGACATACTGCAAACATCTGACATATTATCACCTTATTAAGTTGATGTGGCACACATGTTAGCAGGGAATTGCCAATTTGCACATCAAGCTGACTCTGGCTTAGAGGATTTGGCTCTGTCACAATGACAAATGGTGAAAATTTAAGACACTTTTTAGCTGCTACTTTTTCCACTTCCTTCACCAGCTTACTTTGTCTGTCTGACATTTGCTACTTGAAAGGCAGGTGGGTTATCAGACCTTTTTCTGTGGGTTTGTTATTATGAGAAGCACTTTTCACATTACACACAGCAGCCAGTGATCCACTGTTAATATAAAATATGTAAAATAATGTATCTTTGTGCTATTGCTATCTCCTCTCTTAGGGCAACATTTCATAAAGGAACTTTCATAATCATTAACAATGACTGACACATTCCCTCTTTGAGACAATTGCTGAGGATATAAATAGTGTTAATAAACTACGCCTCATATGGCTGAGGAGGCTCCTGCCAACCCAAACAATCACCCCGGAGGTCCCCAGACCCCAGATTGGGAAGTGTTTGTATAGACCGTCTCTTATTGGTTGTTGTGGGCCTCTTGCCAGAGCCACAGACACATTGTCATTCAGCTCAGGTCTGTTGGTCCGAGTCTCATAGCAACATGAGGAAGAGAGGCGACACTGTAGCCGTGGCAACCAACCAGCGGGGGGGGGGGGGGGGGGGGGGGGGGGGGGGGGGGGGGGGGGGGGGGGGGGGGGGGGGGGGGGGGGGGGGGGGGGCTGCAATAGTGAGAGAATGAAATACACACAAACACTTGCATTGGTAATTTAACGTATAATGCGCTGTAGCTCATGCTCTAATACATCCACTCATGCTAACATAGGAAGACACTTATTTAAGGCTGGGCTGGGTGGCACCGACACACAGCTGCGAGGGATCAGACACACACACACACACACACACACACACTTGTGGCTCTAGGGGATGAATGGAGGGAGGTGCAGGGGGGCTTGCTGGGATATGAAACGTGACTAAATGATTGGCTGGCAACAAAACAAGACAAGGTTATAATGAATGAATGCTCTATTTATTGGCAATGTCAGTGACACACATAAATCAAATGGTAACCATGGTTTTGTTCTTTGAAGAGCTTAACATTCTTCATTACTGGATTAAATTAACAAATTCATAATATATATTTAGTCTTGACCTGCACACCGGATTCATTATTCAGTTGTTAAGGAGGTTGATCTTTGCTGGCGTGCACAGAGCGGTGCCAGACACTTATTAATGTTGGCCAGTGAGGTCATACATCATTTAATGCTGCTTTTAAAATTAAAGATGTTTGATGTCGAGGCGTCTCTCGGTCTCGTCTGAAGAAGAAACATTTATCCCCGGCTGAATTCAGAGAGAAAAAGTGAACTGTTCGAATTACTTCAGATGAAAACCTCACAGCCTTACAGGTGAGTCATTTTAACAACACTGCCTGCCTGAATGTGTTTCTGTCGTCATTTCTAAATAGCTATGTTCACCAGCTGCCCACAGAAAGAAGACAGGGAGAAAAGAATGAATGAAAGAAACGGAGGGTGGGGTGGTGGTGGTGGGGCTGGAAATTGGGACGTGAAGGAGAGGAGGGAGAATAAATCACCCAGTGAAGAGGACGACGCCTCCTGATTGGAAAAACAGCAGGGGGATTCTCTCTCTCTCTCCCTTCTCTTATCTTTGTGTTTCTCTCGTCGCTTTTCTTTTTTTCCCCCTCCCTCTGTCATTTCTCCATGCTCTGCAGAGATTTAGTGGAGGAGAGCGCGCTGCACACATGCATGCACATTGTTATCTTTTGAATTACACACACATACGTGCATGCAGCCTGAACAGCAGCCGCGATCAGATAGAGACGAGGCAATTAACATGTGAAACATTGTGCTCCAAAACATACCAAATTGATACAGGCAGCACTTTGTTCTCTGTCCATTTAAGACCTAAAAATAAGAAACTTAAAACCAGAGTGGGAAAAGCAATCTCCACTCTTGGCACGGCACCAAGCTGCACTAATGACAACACTTGGCAACTAGAACTACCCAGTGCTACCACAACGTGACTGCCGGCCACTGGGAGCTCCCCAGTAGAAGCAGATTCACAATACAACAATAAACCGTTTTAATAATTAGTGTTCCAGTGCATTTCCTTTGGTCTGTTGTAATTTACTAAAGCCTTTAATCCACAGACAATCAGCAACATGTCTTGTTGAAGAATGAGTATCATCATCATAATAATACACTGACAGATCAGGCCCGTGACCTTACTGACCAGGGCAAGTTCTCCCTTCAAGATCTGACTCGCTGGGCTGAAGAGAGACTGACTGACAGCCTGAAGCTTGATTCATTCTTGTGCATCATTAGTTAACAACAAAGCCCACACATGTAGCTACACCATAGCTAACTTGCATCTCCTCAAAAATGCAAGTTAAGGGAGCCATAAGGTTTATGATGACTACAAATACACCATGTGGAGTCCACAGGGTCAGCTCAGGCCGCTTGTGTTTTCTTCCACAACTTTCTGATACAGCTAGAGATTGCTGATAATGAATCCAGCAGGAGCAGGTTGCAGAAAGCCTCAGTGTTTGCCTATTCAGTAACACACATCTATCATTTCTACTGCACCTTTTGCATCTTGCAATTGAGTTTCTTGATCCCAGTGAATGGAAAAACAAACAACATTAAAGGATGCTTTGCAGGAGGAAAACAAGCCAAACCTTTATATTATTGCTCTACATTAAAGTGGAAATAGACAAGTTTAGCTTTAACTTATCATTATGAGGTAAAGGTTGATTGCACAATGTAATGACACCATCAGCTTTAAGATGGGGTCCCTTTAACACCTCTTTATAACGGGGCATGATACTAATGAGCAACCATTAGATTGGTTTAGTTTTTCCCAATGAAGATGTCCTAACCTGCTCCATGCATCAGTGAACAGGCTAATTCCTGTGTCTTCAACAGGGGGTCCGGGACCCCTAAGAGAGGGGTCCTCAGAGTTACTGCAGGGAGGCCACCAAATTACTGCTTGATAATTTAAATTTAATTTAAGTTAAAATGCGTCTGCAAATACACATAAACATGAATCTAACATATCATCAGTGAAGATAAATTGGCTTATCCATAAAACCCATTTAATTTGCAGTACACAACCAGGGTTTTCCCTGGGTTTTTTCGAGACCAAGGTGGCAAAGGCCTGTGGCGGGGGGCATCTTGACAGCTGTACTTTTAGATACGCCCCCCCCCCCCCCCCCCCTCCCCCTGAAAGGAGGCCCCCACATGCTTGAGATTTACACTGCTGACTTGTATAATCACAACAGAACAGACATGTCCTGTGATTTTCAGCCTTCTATGATTATATTTACCCTTTACAGCAGGCACATCCTGACAGCTGAGAATATTACTGTCAGAAATTGTCCCCCCTCTATTTAATATGAAAGGAGGCTGAAAATCACTGGACATGTCGCTTCTAATGATACAAGTCAGCGGTCCTGAAATGTGCGTTTCTCTTCTATAACACACATTCTACATCTCGGAGGCACATCTTTCCACATACAGGCTTCCTTCGCCTTTCAAACGGGGCAGAGCTCCATGGGAAACAGTAGGCGAGACACCGCCCAAGGGGGGAACTGGGATCTGACACAATACTGGAGGGAGAAGCAGGTCATGGAGCTGTGCGCCGGACGAAAAAACAAGCGTGTCGCACTGAATGCACGCCGCTACGGCGTCACTTTGGGTTGTGAGCGCGCATGATGCACATCTACATTGAAAGTAATGGGTTTGAGCGTGCAAAAGACGCTCCAGAAAGAAACCATCGACAAAAGTGCAGAGGGTGAGGCTAATGCACCTTTGCCACAACTGCAGGTGACTGAGCAGCTACAGGCAAGTGCAACAGAGAAAACACGACAACTTGGAGTCCATGCTCTGTCTCTCTTTCAGCTCAGGGTCCTTAGCCTGAAAAATGTTGAAGACCCCTGGGCCTACTTTTAAAACTGCTCACCCCAGCTCTAATTTTTTAAAGCTTTGCACACCTCCAAGCTAATGGAGCATGCAAGCTGTCCATACCTGGACACTTTTTCGTGTCCAATCCACCAGGGTTTCTGTCTC